AAGCTTTAAATGTGTTAAGCTGAAGTTACTTTCAGGACCACCCCAGACTTCCACGCTGTGCACATCAAGTTCTGTTGGATATCCTTTGCGCCGTGTGGAATAGAGAGGTGAGGTTTACATGCATGACCTCACCCCTGCAGCCTTGGGACCTTAACTACTTTCAAGCTTAATGCATGCATAGGAATGACCTCTTTGTCAAAACATGGGAGAACTAAACTGGACACAGTACTGAGGAAACAATCAGACCAGAAGACAACAGAGAAAAACGCTTGCTTCTCCTGGTGTGAATCCTACAGAGCTAACTGATGAGCCTGTAGTTCAAATAGGAGTAGACCAACTGAATGAATGGGTTCAACTGATACAACTCCCATTGATTCAACTGATCTAGCCATCCTACTCAGTGGGATGCAACTGCTGAAAAGGCTTTACAGGTTAGGTTAACAGAAGCATACGAGCACCAAATCCAATCATTAGTCTTAGAAAAATAGTTGAGACTAAGGTGGTGGTAATGATGACAGCAGCAACAGCAACACTATCCAACAAACACCACCAGAGCTTGGACTGAGTTCCCACTCAAGTCCTCTGAAGCTTCCAGCCACAGAGAGTGGTGAAACGTCAGGAAGAACAACCTTCAGAACACGGCCAAAGAGCCCAAAAAACCCACAACAACCAGTAAGGGAGTTCTCATCTAAAACATCTCATCTAAAACAGGAGTAAAAACATACCAAGAAGTGAAAGCCTACATCTTGTTTGTCCTCTCTCCTCAGTAAATTCTAGGATATTCTCATAGCAGGATATTCTGCTATGTGAATTATATGGGGAGAGAAAGAGACTTTTTTTGTCTTCCTTCCCCTCCCCCCAGCAACTATGCCATGTCTGCTCTCCCCCTTGAGTCTTGGCAGATGATAACTTTAGCTAATGGGACTCCCAATAGTGGGAACTTGACAAGCGCATAATGTTCCTGCCACAAGAGAAGACATCTGTAATCAAAGTCAATCAATGTAACATGTTTGTCATGAAAACTCATTAGCAACCTGCTGTACATATCTCATAGCAAGTTCTAAAACAATTTGGGGGGGGGGTCTAAAGAGAATATTTGTGGCAAAAAATCAGCTGAAAGGTTAAAAACTACTCCATTGTATTTGAAAGCAAAGTTATAAGAGCTGAAAGTCACATGGACACTTTTCAGGTGTTTAGCCTGAAACCATGTCAAAATAAATAGAGTATAAGGATGTAAGTATGGAGGTAAGCACCTTCCACCCAGTCTCTACCTAGAAATCATCCATGTTCATGTATTCAGAATGAAGGTCTGCATATGCTCATTTAGCTGAACACACAGCATTTCTGTGATCAGCAGCCCCGGTAAGAAAGGGAGCACAAGAAGTCAGCCAAACGTGCTTACAAATAGTTATGCGGACCTTAGCGCTGAACATGCAGAGGTCTTCAGGGCTTCCAGGTGGGATAAGGACATGCAAGGCATGCCAACCACTCTTTGAGTGTCATACATTTTCAGACTGAATGCCTGAATAGGACTGAATAGCTCAGGAAGTTAGGTATCTGGATGCAAAGCCAGGAGAAGAGCTTGCCAATATAGCCTTGGGGAAGCAGCACAGTTCCAAGCTGCCCCAAAAGAAAGGGATCATAGAGGATTTCTGAGTATTCTATACCTAGAAAGCCCTGAAAAGTGTTGATCTAAGTCACAGCCAATCTGATGGCATGTAATTATTCTCCTTCTTCCAGGGCTAGGAGCTAAACACACTGAAGCATTCCTACTTGGCATTAAGTAGTAGATAATACCAGATATGTCTCATATTCTAAACTGTTAGAATACGTTTTTTAATAGGAGTAAACATACACTTCTTTAGTCATTGGTCAAGAATCCTTTGCCCGCGGTCTAGAATGCAAGAGCTGAAATGCAAGAATCAGTGAGGATATTAATTAATTCAGAGCTAATGAGAGTAAATTTAATAAGGAACAGCATAGCAGTACCCAATGCATGAGCATCAGAAACTCTGAGTTCACCAGGAGAATAATAAGTCAGCTGGAGATAATAATAGCCCAAGTCATCATAATCATTTATGGCAGAGGGCTAGAAAGCAAAAGAGGAAGAGCTATGCATGGTGTTATACTGTCTGTTTACTCCCTCAAAACTCCTATGGGATAAAAGTGGCCAGCATCTAGTCTATTTCATTATGAGCATGACCATTAAGAAAGAGGAAATGCAGTGAGCAAATATTTTACTATTTATCATCAGTACCCACATAGACTAGCATGAATCCCATGTGGAATAGGCGAGTTCTCTCGGCAGGACAGCCAGATGCTGGTCTTGTCTTATATACATAAGAGCATTTGAAATCCACACGTCTATACAGTATAAGACTCTTTGGATCAATGGGCAGGCTCAGAGGGCACATATATTCTTTGTAACAATACTTTTTCCTGCTCTTAATTTTTATTCGTTTTATGAGTATAACCAATAAAAGGGTATTCACAGCTTTTTCAGGTATAAAAGATTATAGATATTTTATTAAGACCACTAATTGCAGGTTTTCTGCCTCTCTTGTTCACCATGCTTTCTCAGAAAAATAAAGAAATACAGAATTGATCAGGACCAATGGATAACGATGAAAATCCTTTTGCATACGTTACATCTGTATATAGGTGATTATATCACCAGCCAAAGGAGATTTTCAGAAATTAAAGAGTTCCCACTTGTGCTCTACGATTTGCCCAACATAGTCCCAACCAGTGTTATCACATGGGTGCACTGGGATGGAAGACCTCTTTAAATACCAAAACACTGCCCTGCAAGATGACTCTACAGGCAGAGGGAGATTTTTCAATCATTGGAGAATTCTGCCTTCTCTCTTGGGCCTCTCACACAAGGAGACGGATTACACACACATTGAACAAATAGAATTTGTCCAAGTTTAGATGATACAACAAGATGCACAGCTAGTTCTGGATGTCATTTCCCCCCCCCCCCCGGCATCATCATTAATCTACAAAAGAAGTGGATATTTCTGATTTTTTGGGTGACAGTATTAGAAGAACAAAGAGAACCAGAGACTTGCTGTGCCTTATTCGAAAGCCAAATGAGGACAGTCCCTCTGACATGTAAGCTCATACTGACATATAATCTCATTCATCTTTCTAGGAAATGGACCGCAGAGCAATTAACTTCCAAGCAACATACAAATGGCATCCCACAAACAAAAATGGATAAAAGGATATGGACAAAGTAGGCTGAATAAGGAAATGCCCTTTTTTGTCCTGCAATCCACCTATTTAGAGTGCAATCCTAACTAGCCAAGATGGTTGAGGGCTGGCTGGGGGGACACAAGGCCATCGGAGCCTATTCTGAATCCAACTCTCTCCCAACCTAGGAATGCTATGAAATACTCAGGATAACCTTGTTTCACACCTAACTTTGTGCTGGCATAGTGGCTGTGAGTGTGGGCTGAGAAGCGTTTGGATCAGCTGTAACTCATCTATCTTCTCCTGTTTCCCCCACACCTTCCCCACCTCCTTTCAGCTGTTCTCCTACCTGATTTCAGCCAGCACAGCAGGTGTGCTGGCAGATCCAGCCACACTGGCAAAACTGAGATCAGCTAGCATACAGAAGTTTTGCCAGCATAAGCACAGTTGAGCTGGCATAAAAGATTCCTGTCCATTACAAACCCACTGTATCTGGGGCATATTTGCATTTGGATCTGACTGTTAATAAAAAATTTCCTCTGTCAGCACCAGGAAAAATGATACTTCTCTGATTACTTTTCACAATAATTGTCTCTACTAAATAACTACTGGGATCCCCTTCTCCTTAACTGTGTCATACTACACAATTTGTAGAAAATAACACCATTGCAATGACAACATAGCAACAGACAGCTAATCCCATTTGCCTATATGGTCTTATAAAGCCAGCTGAAAATAGAGGGTTCAGTAGAAAATTATACAATTGTTCTGTTTTTGTTTTCCTATCTGCTAAAGAAGCAGGAAATAAATGATTGAAGACTAGAGATGGGCACAAACCTCAGCTGAACACATACAGTAGACAAGGAGGTGAGATAGGGATTGCTGCAGCACTTTCTTTGAGTGGGCAGCTGCCAGGGGAGGCAGGGGAAGCGGAGGAGAGAAGCATTTGCTCCTGTGGCAACTGAACCATCATGTGAAGAGGAGGGAAAGAGCAGTGTGCACCTGCTGGTATGTAGGGGGACCAAATGGGTGGAGGGGGAAGCGGAGGAGAGAAGCATTTGCTCCTGTGGCAACTGAACCATCATGTGAAGAGGAGGGAAAGAGCAGTGTGGTATGTAGGGGGACCAAATGGGTGGAGGGAACGTGTGGCAACAAACTGGCACACATGTCCAAAACGAGGTTCATGCCAACTGTACTTAAGACTGTACAAAGAACATAATAGATATCTTATGCTTATTGAGTGATAATTAATAAAAAAACTTCAGTCAGAATCCTATTGCAATTTACACATACATGAGTAAAATCACACAAGCTGTGGCAGTAAAACTGCTGATAATTAACAATGTGCTAGTCACCTCCCTGGTTATGTGCTCGGCATTCCACGGGCAACTAGGAATGCAAACCACTTTGTAAATTACATACCACCATGACCTAATTAATTTCACTTATATATAATACATAATAGCCAATAGCCACTTATATATACATAATAGTCAATAGTATTCTAACCACTATATAATTAATTAAGCCGTCTCCCAGGACGCATAGCCATTTCTAAAGAATAGTCACAGGGAACAATTGTCATTTCAAATAGTACCTTCACAAAAAGCCTCTGAAACTGTAGAATGTTCATGGAAAGCTCAACTCTGAAGAGATAGTGCCACCTAAAGCAATTTTGAATGGCACCATTACACACTTGTGTACTGGCAGATACCAACATTGCCAATGGACTTCTCATTATGCAGGAGACACCACTATTTGTGTTTTTATCATAAATACTGTTGTTGTTCACTAATACACACCTTGTTTGAGCACATCCTCCACAGCAGCGACCAGCTCCTCTTTCAGATCCTGGCTCTCCTTTGCAATCTGCTCTCCTTTTTCCAAAAAGTTCTGAGTCGCTTGTTCTACTGAAGCAGCCAGCACATGAGCCTTCTTAGACCGACCTTTCTTTTTACCAGATGGTCCCTTGTTGCTCGTATTTACGAGGGTCGTCACCTTAAAAAAAAAAAATAACAAATTGTTTTATATTTAAATCCTTGCCTGTCCAGTTTGCTCAATAATACATCATTCAAAGTTCTCCTGAAGACATAAACACCCACTCTTCCTTTGCAACTAAACAATTAACCTCTAATAAAAGTTGGTATATGAACAAATGTTCTTTCAGGTATTTCAGTCCAATTCCATTTTAGGACTTTCAAGGTACATGGCCGCACCTTGATTTAGGGCTAAAAACAAACCAGTATCCAGTGACATTCTTTTAGAATTGAAATGACATAAGGTTAACTTCTGAAGGTTAATCTAGAAATCAGGTTAATCTAAAACGATGTGTGGTTAACCTTAATCATAACATTTTAAAATTAACCTCTGATAATTACCACCAAATTGAGGAGACTGGTACAAGCTGTAGGAATCACATCTTCACGCAGGTGTTCCACATACATGCGCAGTCCATCTGCAGTTCTGAGCAGTGATGAGCTTTTTTGATATCTTGGACTACAAATCCAATAATTCTCCATTCTGGAAGTTCTACTTGACAAACACCTGAGAGAAAGGTCCCACTTGTAAGGTTTTGAAGCTTACCTAGGCCTAGTTTTGCCGAAGCTTCCATTTCCTGACTCAGTGGGAGCTGGGAATTTTCTTTCGGAACAGGAAGCGAGGTGGAGCTAGGCCTAGCTAATCCTTCCAGTTGAGGTTTTTCTCCCAGTTGAGCCAAATTTAGGCATCCGTCAGTCAGAATGAACTCCCAGAATGGAAGATGATGGGTTCTGAAGTCCAGGATATTTTTTTAAGAAAATGCATACTATTGATTTATCTCTCTTCATTTGGCACACTTATTTCCAAACTGCAAACTTGAGCTCTTAGTATTTTCGGTCTTCAAATTTTATATTATCCCATCAAGAGAAAAATATAATTCCTTATATGATATCACACTATGAAGACGCCTGGGTCTCCAGCCAAGGAAATAACTAGGGGGTAAGTGTTTCTTTGCAATCATATCACTATACTAAATGAGATCTACAGTGTTGTGTTAACTTTCTGTCACTGTGACCAAGAGCCAAAAAGGCCATTAAGCAGAACACGATAAGGCACCCTTGACACCTAAGAACTCTCTCTCTCTCTCTCTCTCCTGCCACCCTTGGGCATCCACTTCAACAATATCATTACTACTTTCCATCATATATGACTTAACTGAAATGAAACTGAAACAAGTCAGAGACTAGGCAAAAAGGGCATTCCCATGTCAGAATCATACACTGGATCCCCTTGCTTTGCGAGGCAGGGAGATCAAAACTGTTATGAAGAAAATGCAGCAAGATGATGACTGGCTAGTTTGGGGAACAGTGACTTGTTCACTTTCTAGGCATCTTAATTTTGTTTACATATCACAAAAAGCATGTCTGGAGTGTAACAGAGGAAGCATACCCTTTACTTGACAGTATATGAATACACCATATTTAATCCCCTTCAGTCGTTCTGTGATTACAGCTAGCTGAGAATCATTCAATACTCAAAAGTGCAAAGCCAGTCTCCTACCTTCAGACTGTCATCCCCAGGGAGACTGGGGTTGGGTTGAGGCAGAAGCAGCAAAGCTAAAAACCCTACATTGTTTTCTCTCCCCACCCCACCATGCTATTTATATTGGGAAAATAACTGGAGAGGGTTCTGTTGTTTTATATTCAGCTTTTACATCTAGGTTTGCCACACACCCCCTTCACGGGTGGCTGCCTTGTCATGGTGAAGGGGCTTAAGTCATTCAGAGAAGCTATGGGCGATGCTGTGCAGGGACACCCAAGACAGACAGGTCATAGTGGAGAGTTCTGATTAAACGCGATCCACCTGGAGCAGGAACTGGCAAACCACTGCAGGATCTTTGCCAAGAATACCCCATGAACAGAAACAAAAGGCTAAAAGATATGACGCTAGGAGATGAGCCCCTCAGGTCGGAAGATGTCCAACATGCTACTAAGGAAGAGTGGAGGACAAGGACAAGAAGCTCCAGAGCTAACGAAGTGGTTGGGCCAAAGCCGAAAAGACGCTCAGCTGTGGATGTGCCTGGAAGTGAAAGGAAAGTCCAATGCTGCAAAGAAAAATACTGCATAGGAACCTGGAATGTAAGATCTATGTACCTTGGTAAGCTGGATGTGGTCAAACAGGAGATGGCAAGAATAAACATTTACATCCTGGGTGTCAGTGAACTAAAATGGACGAGAATTGGCAAATTCAATTCAGACAATTATATCTACTGTTGTGGGCAAAAATCCCATAGAAGAAATGGAGTAGCCCTCATAGTCAACAAAAGAGTGGGAAAAGCTCTACTGGGATAGAATCTCAAAAATGATAGAATGATTTCAATGTGAATCCAAGGCATGTATGGAAGTGAGAGCTGGACCATAAAAAAGGCTGACCGCCAAAGATTTGATGCTTTTGAATTGTGGTGCTAGAGGAGGCTCTTGATAGTCCCCTGGACTGCAAGGAGAACAAACCTATCCATTCTGAAAGAAATCGACCCTGATTGGTCACTGGAAGGACAGATTCTGAAGCTGAGGCTCCAATACTTTGGCCTTCTCATGAGAAGACTCCCTGAAAAAAACCCTGATGTTGGGAAAGTGTGATGGCACGAGGAGAAGGGGACGGCAGAGGACAAGATGGTTGGACAGTCATCAGAACTACCAACATGAATTTGACCAAACTTCAGGAGACAGTGGAAGACAGGAGGGCCTGGCATGCTTTGGTCCATGGGGTCACGAAGAGTTGGACACGACTTAACGACTAAACAACATTGCCACATACATAGATATATATATATGGAGGAAACATGTGGAAGGTTATAAATCTGTCAAAAAAGCAAAGTAAAGGGAAAGGTGATTTAGCATTACATGAACTTCCACTTAATTTTATTATGCTGGAACATCTACTGAATGCAACATAGATATGCACCTTGATTCCCTGCCCGAGTGGATGGTAGAAGCTGTAAATTCTTCTTTAAGAGAAGGACATGTTTTCTTCTCTCCAAACCAAGGGTGGCAACTGTCAGAGATTCATGGGGCACACATGCTCCCAGAACTTAAGAGGAATGAATCTTCAGCATCCTAATGAAACTGTAATCAAGAGACCCTCTTTTACATTCTACCATTGAGAGAGGCAATGTTGGTGGGTAATCAAGAGAGAAATGTGACCTCCAGGTCCCCTTCTAAGGACTGAAAGCATGTTCATCATTATAAAACTCTGAAGCTGGAAGGGACTCTGTGGCTTATTTACTGCAGCTCCTGTCAAGGAGGTACAGTAGGGAATTGGACTCCCAACCTCTGGTTTCCTAGCCAGATATCTAAACCAGTGAGCTACACTGTGGCAATAGGAAAGCTCCCCTCCTCACTTTCCATACGCCATCCACAGTTGTGGTGGCTGCCCCAATAGAGCCAGGTGACACCTGCATAAACCAGCCTACTCCACAGGGATTCTGACTTTACTTGTAGGCTCAGTGTGTTGTCAGACTTGCCAGCCTCTAGAATGGTTCCCAAATAAATGTAATAGCCAATGGCTGCATATTCTGTGCAGCGCTGTACACAACTGACTACAATTCACAAGTCCACTTCGCCATAATATCAAAATTGTGTACCTCGTCTGTGCAATCATTTTGGATGGCTGTTGCGTGTTCAGACAAATCAAGCCACACACTTGGTTGTATACTTTGTGGTGTGCCTGGGTGTTCTATAGATGGCCAGAAAACAGCACAAAGACACTCACATGATTTTTCATTCATCAATGGTTTTCTACAAGGATATTAGCTACAAATTTGTACAAGCCCATCTGCTCTTATGTACCTATGCCACTCATCTTTAGCAATTCAAGGTTCCCAACACAACCAAGGATATCTCCTGCTACTGGCCTGGCTACAGTTCCTTGCCACAGGCAACCAGATGAATGTTACAAAATAGATATATTCAGCAAAGCAGTTTCTAGTATACATTTTGTCCAATTGTGCCTTTGGAAGAGAAAAATGGAATCCTCTAGCCTGAAATATTATCCTAGTCATTGTACTGTCAGGATAATGTCATAGTATAGCCCCTGGAAGAATTTTTCAAGCCTTTGCTTCTGTTCTAAAATGCTCATTTCTTATTTTGTACACTCCATTACCATGCAGAATAAAATTATAGTAATCCTCCTGGCTATTTGTTGCATAGCTAAAATGTTGTTCTCACAGTGACAACAAGCACTGCCACATGGAGTTAAGGCAAAAGTCAACGGCCACAGACAGTTAAAGTGAAAGGACACAGGAAATGTTAGCATGATGGAGCAGTTCAAAAGGTATAATCTCACCAGTTGCACCCAGCACCTTAAGCAAGTGTCAGATGGTTTGTGGTTTTATACAATATAACAATGCATTCAGCATAAAGCAGCAACATCTGAGATGAAGACGCAAAATTGCTGGTAGCTTTCATACAATGAAGCAATATTTGCCTAACATGCTAAACTGAGAACAGGAAAAAGGAGGAGAACAATTAAAGGGTTTAAAAAAGGCTGCAAAGAAAAGGGAAATACGAAGAACAGTCCCTTACTTAAAATAGTCCTGAGATTCCACAAAAGGAATAGGTCTCTTCAAAGATACTGAATGCCTAGCCTTCCACTGATGACATACACTTGATATAATTTGATGCTGGTCTTCATATAATGAAGTTTCAGGCCAAGAATCAACCCACTAAAGACAAACAACTTGAAATTGCTTTTCAAAGGCCATCTGCTAATTTGGAAAATATACACTGAGGTGTATAATCAAGAGCTGCATAACTACAGAAGATGCTGAGCATCAATCAAGCAATGATGCTTAACAGAGCCACATGATCGACATCCTGTTTTGAGAAGCATATGTATCCGATCTAAAAATCTAAATTCCTGCTTCTCTCATCTTTGCCATTGCTCTGTGGAAGGGCAAAATATTTCCCAGAGATATCTACTCAATCATTTTTAATACAAACTATGTACTCTGTGCAGATTATGCAACTTGGATGATTTGTATAAACTACTCAAAACAACATTAACTTTTGCTTTGTGTAAACTTTTAAGACTTTGTGGCATTAAACTGGTTGTTTGCATCTCTGTTATATAGGGACATGGTGGCACTGTGGGGTAAACCGCAGAAGCTTCTGTGCTGCAAGGTCAGAAGACCAGTAGTCGTAAGATCGAATCCACGCAACAGAGTGAGCTCCCAGGGCTTGTCCCAGCTCCTGCCAACCTAGCAGTTCGAAAGCATTTAAAAATTCAAGTACTGTAGATAAATAGGTACCACCTCGGTGGGAAGATCACAGCATTCCGTGTCTAGTCATGCTGGCCACATGACCACGGAAACTGTCTACGGACAAACGCTGGCTCTACGGCTTGGAGACGGGGATGAGTATCGCACCCTAGAGTCGGACACAACAGGACTGAATGTCAAGGGGAACCT